GGGGGGGGGGGGACCTCTGAGCAGCGCAGTCTGCGGGTCAGTCGACGTTGCCCGTTGTCGACAACCCAAAAATAACAACATCGCTAAGAGTGATAATATCCTCGGCTGGTGCCGGAGTAATGCCCCCCCCAGAGAAACACACCCAGCAGCCAGCAGAGGGTACAGACAGTTTTCTCTCAACAGGTCATGGTTACAATAAAAAATGGTGGCCCCAAGCAGCTGCTACGTCCAATTGCTGTTCAATCAAAGGAGCCAAGCTCAACATGAACGAGCCGCCCACCCACCTTTTTGCAAGCTCCTCGCTGCTCCGTGACCTGCGCCCAGTGCATACGTCGTTCATGATTCGCGGAGCGCAGGCGGGGGGGCGGAGGCAGCAACGCTATCGATTAAAGTAAAACACGATTTGCCACGAACGAAGTCCCGACCTGAAAGTCGGGTACCACGTGAGGCGCGCGGCCGCGACCGAAACAATTGAAGTTCGCTGGGCGTCGTATACCGTGCTTGTGTGGTGGCTGGTCGACCCACGTGAAAGGCCCACAAGTATCACTGATCCAAGAAGAGGCTTGTGTCCAGCTGGGAGCTGCTCCAACAATCGAATTCAGAATTTGTACAGCGATAGGATCGCTCCAAGTCTCAAGTGTACGCATGCACAGGAGATGTGTGAATTTGTTGGTTGAACGATTGTTTTATGGTTGACGACAGCAGCAACAACGGCAGCAGCAACAATAGCAACTACTACTACCCTTCATCAATGATGAATGCACAACCAGCAAGCCATTGGATATTCGGCAAAGGGAGATCTACAGGCGGTACAGCTCATTGTGGGGGCTCAGGCTTGGTGAAGGAAGAGGACGCCAAGAGTATCAAGGCCGCTCGACAGCAGTATATAATGAAGGCGAGAAACAACAAACACATCGCAGGCGACATTCTTCTGTGTGATTTCGGGCCGCACTTCTGTTCAGCTAGAGAGGCAAGGCCGCAGGGAGCTTAAACTGGAGCAGCGGAAGTGTAGTCCACGCTGTGGAAAAGATATGAACAAAGCAGGGTCTCGGCTCCCAGCCCGTTATGATATGACGTAGGCCACCACCCCTACACTACACCGCACACGCACACCTACTTTTGCGGCACCTCAACTGCTACTTTCGCGAAAGCTAAAATTATCAATAAAGGAGGCAACGCACGCGCTGCCTACGGGTACAACTCTCCCACTACTCACTCCCTGGTTCGAAAGCTTCGCCAGCGCCATCAGCCCCTGCGCCTGCTCGAACGCGTTGGCTTCGTCCTCCGCATCGGCTCCCCCGCCCTCGGCGGCGTACGGGTCATACCCAATGGTGTTGGTCCAGATGCCCGTCATCTTGAGGGCAGAGCTGCTACTGACGCGGTTGCCGTGCGGCATGCGCACTCTCCCAGCGGTAGCTGGCATGGTGGCGAGTGTTCCTCCTGGTCGAACGCTCGGCTGGAGTCAGTGCGTCGTGTTGCCCACACTCTCCTGGCGGGATGCCCGCTTGTCCAACGCAGCAGTATCTCGAGATTGGGCCAGCACAAAGCAACCACCTCTGTTGTAGCTCTTTTTGACTCGCTCGGGCTCCCGTTATTTTCTCAAGTAGTGCAGAGTGTAAACTGCACCTGGGGCGAGCAACCAACACAACACGGGCAAGGACAACAGCGACCCTGGTCGAGCAGCGAGCAGCAAGCGGTGTGGATCAGGAGGGTTCACGGAGCGGGATTCCATTCTAGGGCACCCTGCGATGTATCCATTTTCGCGAAGCCCCCATACCCACCACAGAGTTGCCACTCCCCAGTGTTATTTGGTTTATAATTTTTTTTTTTTTTTATTGGTCCTTGCTCCGTCAGTACGAGACGCCCACCGCGCGGTTGGTGTCGCAGAAGAGACGATCCGCTAGAAGGTGCACTGCTGAAGGGTAGAGGAGAAGAAACGACGCGAATCGGTCCACAAGGCCCGACGTAACACTGGTCAAGGCGGCTAAACAGGTACGCCGGGCACTCGCAGATGGTATCCTGTTTTCTTTTTGACCCCCCCTCAAAAGCCCCCTGGGCAGCAGGCTGCATGCCACAGCAGGCTGCGTGTTCACAGAGCCGTAGGAGCCTCGTCGTCGCCAACAGGCATAATCGAACCTCGGTATACTGTTGTCACACTCACACTTGAGGTGCTGGTGCAAGTTTTGGGCGTTCGGTAGCTATCTGTGCTTCAAACCGAAGCTACCTCGCAAGAGGGCCTCAGCAGGGCTTCAACACGCGGAGCATCTCGGTGCAGTCGGTGCAGCAGCGGCACCAGGCCCAGGTTTGCCTTACGAGGAGAATCTTGCGGTCTCAGCGGGTGCGTCGTATAGGTCAGGGTCTGTACTTGCTCAGGCTGAAACAGCATCGAGGATTACCAATTGTAGACGCCAATACCGGCGATTCGGCCAGCAGCTATATACCGCCATTTTCAACGGTTTTTTCGGTTTTTCCAGGATGGTCCGGCAGCGCCGCGCCTCGTGTGGCAAAGTGGTGCACGGCAAAGAACCGGCAGCGGCAGGGGAGCTTCGGCGATGCTTCGCATGTGACCGCCCCGGTAGCCGCGACGGGTGCTCGACCAATTGGCAGCACGTGGTGGACTCCGAATACTGGGCGGAGCTGGGCGAGTGGTCTGCAACGGTAGGGGAAGGGTGGACTCATGAGCGCGACCTTGTAGGAGACCCTCTCAAGGCGGGAGAGTGCATCTGTCGCCGCGCCGACTGTGTGGTTAATTTGTACCAAAGGTACAAGGGGAGGCGCCAGAGGGAAGAGAAAGGAGCTTTGCACACCATGGTGATTGGGCAGCGGTCGCCGATGGGCAGGTACCCGTCGACGGGCTCCCAGGTATGACACCGCAGAAACACCACCTTTAGTGCGGCGGTGTAGGTGACTCATGCGTCCTGTCATATGCATCGATCTGGGCGAACTCTAGAACGTTGAAATTGTAGGAAGACGCGACAACGTTGACCCCCGTGAAAACTTTCACCCCGTTCTATTTTTTCTGGTCAAGTTATCCTTTCTACGTTCCCACGTGACTACGTAGATATGTATGTGAGTTTCTGGGATCGCGACCGTCACCATGTGCTGTTGATGGTGTAGTATTCTACCGAGTGGTGGACGTCCCATCTCTCAACCTTGCATCGGTAGCCCTCGCCTTACTCCTTATTTCTCGAGTGGCATTGTTCCCTTTTCCTTTGTTTTGGTTCTCACATAAGAAAATGGTAAGTAAGAGGATGCTGTGGTCGTGCATCGTTGTCTGTCCTGCCCGTGTTGGTCGAAGAGTCTCGTGGCAGGAGAGAGGGAGTCGACCCCACCCCCACAAGTCAACGGCAAAAGATATGTAGAGCGCCCGCGAGGAGGGTGGAAACAAACATATTTATGCTGCCAGCATGCCAGCATACTCCCTCTGCCAGGTAACACCTAACAAAATGAAGAAATATTAAGTACGAACGATTTTGCTTTCGCAATTTTCAGGTGCGAGCTCTTCTGGAACACATGGATCTGCAAGGCAGCGTACTGGATTGTTGTGGCTCGGCCCAAGACGCAGTGAAGACGGTCCTGAGTTCACACGGTCTCCGTGTCGCCACGAACGACTTGAATGGGTGGTATGTGTGTTGTGTGTCTCAGACCGACTTCGATGTCACCAAGCACTGCGGTTTTTTTCAGTGTTTGATTTCGAGATTTTGGCGTAAAGTTCGTATGCATAGGCTATGCTCAAACACACACGTAGCAATGTTTACCTGGCCGCGAATCAAATGGCGAATGTAATGCTTCACCACATGCATTTTTGCCGGCGCTCGTTTTTTTTTTTGCCCCCCTCCCCTTAGCTTGGTGGCCGATACCCACCTGGACGCCGCCACAGACGCTTTTGTCGAGGCGTACGTCGAGGACACGCGGCGTCCGGACTGGGTCGTGACGAGCCCACCCTACAAGAACGCCACCACCATTTTGAAACAGGCGATGCGGGTCGGTCGTATGGGAGTGGCCTTCAAGCTGAGGTTGACGTTTCTGGAGCCCACCAAAACCAGAGGGCGGTGGCTAAAGGAAAACGCGCCTGACCGGATAGTGGTGCTCCCGCGCGCTACGTACCGCGGAAGAGCGTGTAGCTCTACTGAGGCATGGTTTATATGGGAGACGGGGCGGGGGGGGGTAGGAGGCCGCGGGCCTGCTGTTTGCTTCTCGTTGCCTGACGGAGCTCTCTAGAGTAGACGTGCTTGTGTGAAGTTGCATAGCACTATGGTATTATTGGCATAGCAGTATATGTATGCTGGGTAAGTTGAATGGAAGTCTGCATGTTTGCTTCCCCGGGGCTACTACCGACGCCCCGCCTGTCCGCCCTGACGTGTTGGTGGTCCCTGTTGTTTTTTGGGGGGGGAAAGACGTCCGACGTTTGAAATAATTTTGGGCTGGAGAACCATGGCACAGCAGCTGACCCTGTTTTTCCTTGTGTACCTGCATGCACATGATGGATGGCCATGCCTATGTGTGCGCTATACGTGTGCGACTCGTGGCCCACAAGGCAGACATTGTTCTGGAAATGCACCGCAAATGAACTACTATGTTTGCTACATCGGGTTAAAATTTGCCCATGGAGCGTTGAAAAAAAAAAGGTCGCAGCCCACCCGCCGTTGTATTGTAACGTACCATCTTTAGTTCTCTGCCAAAAAAAACTGTACTGCTGCTGTATACCCCCCCCCCAACAAAAAAAAAACGCGTGCACATGTCTTGAACCTGGTACCACACCCTAGAAAAAAAAAGACTCGGTATGCACCAAAGTGTTGACCTCGAGTGTACGAAACACGCACGCATACATGTGCGCCAAGAAAAAAAAAATACGTGCACTGTGTGTTGAACACACGCACGCATAGAAGTGCGCCCAAAAAAATCCGCGTGCACATGTCTTGAACCTGGCACCACTCCTAACAAAAAAAATGACTCAGGATGCACCAAAGTGTTGACCTCGAGTGTACGACACACGCACGCATACATGTGCGCCCAACAAAAAAGACGTGCACTGTGTTGAACCTGGCACCACACACAACAAAAAAAAAGACACACACACCAAAGTGTTGACTTCGACTACACAAACCCATGTGTGCCCAAAAAAAAAACTGGACTGTTTTGAACCTGGCACCACACACAAAAAAAAAAAGACGCAGACACCGAAGTGTAGACTTCGACTGTACCACACACACGCAATTGTGCTGCGTAGCAAACCCACATGGCCGAAAACCACTTGTGGCAATTCTCATTTCTACGAGGAGAACACAACAGCCGAATGCAGCTGCACTCCGTTACGGTAGATCTTCGTGGGTCACGCAATGGGTTCCACCATTCACCTGCGAGAATAATATCGGACCGAGACACCGAAAAGTCGGGAAGGGGAATCTTCGCGTAAGCTGTTTTGCGGAAAAAACGCCTAACGAAACCCGGGCTAATGCCATGGTATCCCTGACAATGCTGGGGGGGACGCATAAGGCGCCAAAAAAAATGCGGGCTACCCGTTGTATTTTCGAAGTGTTGTTGGTGCAATATACCGTTTTTTGTTGTTGGAGGGGAGGCATATGATGAACCGGGCTGTGTTTTCTGCGCATGGCACACAGAAAGCCTCTCCTACGATATGTGCTAAATTTAATTGTCGCAAGGCACAAGCCGTTAAACTAACGGCGTTATATTGACGGTCGGATACCAACGCACATAACTAAGGCTCGTCGTCCACCAGCAAGTCTCCGTCGAGGTCGATCCCGATATCATCCATACCGTCAAGCGAATCGTCGTCTCCTTCGCTGTCCTGCGAGCCTTCCTCCCAAACGTCGTCGTAGTTATCTAGGAAATCGATCAATGCGCCAGGAGAAGTTGCTCGGTAGTACCTCGTATCATTTTTCGGGAATACATTTTACCAAGTAGGCGATGACGTCTCTCCCGTCCCCACTATACTACTGTGTTGTCTTGGAAAGGATGATCAGTCAGGTAAATTCGGCGGGATTCAGCTGCTCAAACATGCAAAGTACAAGTATGAAGAAGAAACCTTACGACAGTGTTGTGGTATGCGGGTGCTTGGGTGGCCCCTGAGGGGTAGCCAACATCAACAAAGTAGAATGTATATCTCGGCGCCGTCAACAATGCACAAGCGCAGCCGCTCACCCAAGCGACGCTGTGACTCCGATCCACCCTCCTCGCCGGGATTCCCAACATCTCCCCCTTCTTCCTCGGGTGTTTCCTCATCATCGTTTCCCACTGCTCCCGCGGGTGGGGTCGGACCCCCTGACTCCGACCCATCTTCCTCGCTGGGAAGCCTAACCTCCGCCCCCTCCTCATCGTGTGTTTCCCCCTCATCCCGTCCCACTGCTCCTGCCTGTCGGGCCGCCTCAGCGCGAGCTCCCACGTCTGACGTAAGTCCTCCCTGGGGATTCTCTCCCCCCCCCCCCCCTTGTGCGGGCGGCTCCCACCCTCCGTCAGCTGCATCGTCCTGATTCCGCGCTCCATGCCCCGTAGCCCCGTCTCCCGCCGGAGTCCGCGCACCCCCCAAAGCATCCCTAAGGAAGGCGTCGTATGCCAAACCTGCGCATAGATTTCGATGTACCGGTTGGTTGCACTACACGGTAGTGTAAAGACTCGTTAACATGATACCTTCCCTCCACCAAAAGAAAGGTATTTCAGTTATTAT